CTCGTTCTCCTTCCCTAAGTTCCTTCTTCTCTATTGCCCCCTAATGATTTATTATTAAATAATGTTCTTTTCTTGTGTGGTGCTACCCAATCAGGGTTCCCTAAATGCAGGGATGTTGGCCGTGGTTAGTATAGACAATGGTCAGAAATGATGGGAGTGGTAGTTCAGCAGTGTCTGGATGGCTAGAGTTTCGTCTCCACTGATGTAATGAATAAGATGATGACACAAACGTTTATGATCTGACTGCATAGTGACACCAAGAATGAGTGTGAATGGGATCCAGCTAAACAAAGGAGCAAACTCTCTCTCCCCCCCCCGGGATGCCAGTCAACATAAAAGGCAGCGATTGTGCATGTTCCTGAAAACTCTTCATGAAAAGCAGCGAGTTGTGTCTGTTCATAATAAAAGCATGAGGATTAAGGGCAACAACATATATGATTCCAGGAACATATGAAACGCCATGGCAGAAAAACGCTTCGTCCATCTGTTCCAACATGCTACATATGGAATAGTTATTGCCAGGTGTTTAAGGGGGAAGTTGGGGAAAGTATAATATACAACACTGTGAAACACTATACTGCAGGGTAAAATTTCGTCTGCCCTCAGCTGGTGATCAGTTTCTGCCTTGAAGCACAAAGTGTGATAGCTTTTTCCAATTTGTCCCAGCTAGGCTAACTGCTGAGACTAGCCTTATTGATGTGGATGTCTTCTAATCCCTTTATGAAATTACTCAGCTCCAATGTTTGAGATATATAAAATGAAAGCCTGGACGTTCAAGAAACAACATGCTTCTGAATGAGATCACTCCGCAGCTAATACAGGCACAGACCGTTATTAAATATATTAGTCCCCTTAAGACACTTTCCCACATGGCCAAATTCAGTCCCTGATACACAGCAGTCTCCATTGGAATCAGGTCTAGGACCACAATATCAATGGGAAGAAGAATTTATCGTACAGGCTCAGAAATTGGTGCTTTTTGGTGCATCCTAACAGGGATCAAGGGAAAGACTTGCTGGGCATTTACCAAGCTACACCCCAGCAGAGAGGGCACTGTGAGCCCCTTGTGCACCTCCTCCTTTTTCTTGCTGCTTCTGTCTACTTACTGTCTTCTCTGAGCAGTGCTAAGAATCTGGGCACCTGTGCAGTTTAGGTTTACAGGGAGATGGCAAATGAATGTCAGTGGTGATAACAGTAAGGAGTAGGTGGTCTTACGCAGGAAAAAATTCAGTGCATTTCTATGTCAATAGTTCTACTATTTTTGCTTGTCGTATGGACTGATCTGCCTCTCTTCCTCTGCTTGCTGCCCTGGAGGTTCTCCTGACCAGGAAGAACATCCTGCAGTTCACTTTGCATGGAGGATTCCAGAAGAACAGTTCATTGTGATCATATTTCCAGCACCCAATTCTCTTCCTCTTTGATGCCTTCACAATATTTCCTTGAACAGTGAGGGTCAGACCCCTTGGGCTACATGGTGCTGTGGGCCTAGGCATTGATACTTTGTGAGTAGGAAAAATGGCCTTGCAAATCCTCCATCCTATCTGTGGGTAGTATTTTGATGAATATTACTGGGTGGGTCACTTCAATTTTTCCAGCAGTTTTTTTTTTTTAAATCTTCCAATAAATTTCAGCTTCCCTAATGTTAAATAAAACTCTATTTTTACTTCTTGTTGATGAATTAAAGACATCATGGACCAAGAGAGGAGAAATGGAAGGAGTATGGACCAAACCTATTGCATCTTCCAATAATATTAAAAGAATATTGAACAACATTAGAACTGGATCCACTGTTGTGCCTAAAATTCATGGATGGTGAAATAGGGCAGGTTTCAGCATATCCCTCGGGGATGACCAAAATTTTCCAACAGTCCAGGGGCTGCTTGAAAAGGGTTGGTTTTTTTAAATGTATCAGATGCTGTAAGACAAATGCAGATCTTTTTTGACTCTGTAGGTCACATGATTATCCCCACACCTGTGGGTGAACTTTGACAGGCATTGTAGGACAACCCACCTGTTCGTCATCTGATGCCATAATGATGTCAGGTGACTGACACTTGTCAAAGTCCCTTGTGCAGCGTTTCCCCAGCAACTAAGAAGCAGCTGGCTGTCAGGCATTTGGGAATCAATGTGCTTTGCACATCTGGGGATAGCTGCTGCTGGTGGAGAGGAGCACTCCCTCCTTCCCATTCCTGTGCACTCTATATCCCAGTGCAAGGAATGAGAAAACAAAAGGATCTGAGCAATGGGGGAAAGGTCTTTGCACACACAAACTGGAATAAAAACAAAAAGGATGGGGGGAGCCCAGAAGGAAGTTCCCATGCACTGGAACTGCTATGATTTTGAGGCAAATAGGGAGTAAAAAAAAAAGAAGGGGGGGGGGGAGAAGAAGTAAGCCAAGGAGAGGGCAATCTTAGGCCATGCAGATTTATCCAATTAGTGGAGGGCTGTTCAGGGAATGTGCATTCTCATCATCTCCAGTAAAAGGCAGAGGCAGAGAGAGAGAGAGAGAGAGAGAGAGAGAGAGAGAGAGAGAGAGAGAGAGAGATGCATGCCACAAGGCCTGGCAGAGCAGTGGGAGAGAGCAGTTGCAAACACAAATGGGAATGCAATTCAGAATTAGAATATATGTCTTCTGCTTCTAGGCATCACGGAAGGCATTTTATCTTTTTACAGTGCACAGAAGTGCTATGAAGAGAGATGAATGTAATGAGGGCCAGAGGCTGGCCGAAGAAGATTAACGGCTGAAAACACAGTATCTGATTGTAAGATGGATCTTATTCCAGTGATGAATGTTATGGCCCTGTCATCCAGCCACGCTTTTCTGAGAATTGAAAATAAACACAATAGTGATACATTTGCTACAGTGTTCTGCATTTTCCACCATTTCACAGATGTAGACAATCCAGCAGCATGGCTCATTTTGCCAAGATGCAAAGAAGAAAACTTATATTTTCTGTGGTTGTAAGATGTTTTTATTGTCATATTTACTGCTGCAACCCACTCTGAAACCTTAGGGTAAAGAGTGGATAAAAAAATAAATTATTATTATTAATAATAATAATAATAATATTTATGACCATGTTAAAAGCATTGTATCTTGGATATATTTTGCTGTGTCTGCCAATCTAAGGGATAGTCCTTAATTTTTTTCCATATCTCAGAATGGATTATCCCTTTTCAAAATTTCAGTAGGCATCTCCAATGGTGCAACTACAGTGGTACCTTGGGTTAAGTACTTAATTTGTTCTGGATGTCTGTTCTTAGCCTGAAACTGTTCTTAACCTGAAGTACCAATTTAGCTAATGGGGCCTCCCACTGCTGCCGCACCGCTTGAGCATGATTTCTGTTCTTATCCTGAAGCAAAGTTCTTAACCCGAGGTACTATTTCTGGTTTAGCGGAGTCTGTAACCTGAAGCGTATGTAACCTGAAGTGTATGTAACCTGAGGTACCATTGTACAGTATAATCTGGACTATTTTTTAGCCAGAACTCAGCTCAGCACCTTTCAGGTGAGCACCCTTGCCATTACAGGAGAACAAGGGAGGCATTCATGGTGAGTTCTGACACCTCTTTTTCTAGAAAAATAGCACTGAGTATAATTCAGAACTGGCAACAATAAAATGAAAGATATTCATAAAAAATCCAGCAAATATGTAAACCCCACAATACATACACAACCATGTAAACTAAGTTCCCAGAAAGAGCCTGGAAGTGAAATGATGGAAGATAAATCCAAATGCAGAAGGGCCAGAATGAGCCATAACAAAGAAGCATAGCATTACACCTGATTCTGTGAACGTGATTTCTAAATAAGAACCCCACTCCCTTGTTGGCTGCTCTTGTATCTGATTCACATAATTTTCTGGGCTTCTCTTTCAATTCTGCATTTCTTCTAACACCCCAAGCTCCCCGGCTGAATTATTTAGCACTCCAGCTCTTGTGAGAGTTCATTAGAGCAGGCAGAATAGTCAGACATGTATTTTTATTTGGTTCAAATTGTACAGCGCAGTAATCATTTTTAAATGTCCTTCTATGCCACGTAAAGTTGCAAGGCATCAACTCAAAGGACAGTAAAATATGGAATTATTGACTGCTAGAGGTGGCCTTAGAACAAATACCAGAATGACGGCTTCAAACAAAATTCTGTATCTGAGACAAGTACGCCTGCTTCTTTGGGGTCCTTTGTTTATTGGATTTTTATTTGATTGATGGTTTTTGAATGGCAATTCCATGGGTAAGCTACTCTTAGCAGCAAAATCATGTTTAAAACATCACCTCTCCTTCATTCGCCGCAATCAGGAATGGTGCTAGTTTTTACAGTTTCATGCATAAAGCTCTTGCGATCATGTCTTTGAAACTTTGTAGTAACAGCGACATCCCTTGGGGTTTTTACTCTGTCGTAAGGAGGGATGGGGAGAAATTTGATTTGGTTGGCCCTTAAATGCGAATCTATCAAATTTGCAATTTCTGAAGCAATGTAAGAACCGAAACATACCCATCTTTTGAAATTTACACTTGTCTGAATTTTGCAATGGAATCCTCCAACCAAAGTGTGCGAAAAATTTAATATATTAGTGAAAACAGCACTTCAAAATGGATTAGCGAAAAGAGCATTAGGAAAAAACCGCTTGCAGAAATATGTACGTTAGTCAAAACTGCATCGGAAAATGTGTTTAATGAAATCAAAATGCTAATGAGTTTCCATGAGGATTAAAAAAACAAAACCACAGGAATATGGAGTACTTTATTTAAGACTGGAAAGCTGAGAAATGGCGAAAAACTGACAGATCCTTCTGTCCCTAACCATAAATCTTCTGGAATAACTCAAACCATTATTGTTATGTCTCACATAACTCTCTCTTTAGTAGGACATTGGGGCAGAGGTCCAGAGCCCCAATCCATTGAATGAGCTGAGCATCGTGCCGCTGCCATCAACACACCAGGGGTGGATTACCACATGTTGAAGAAAGCAAAGTAATACACAATGCCATCTGAGAAAGAGCCATAGCTCAATAGCAGAGCACCTGCTTTGCAAGCAGAAGGCCCCAGGTTCTGTTCATGGCATCTCCAGGTAGGGCTGACAATGTCCCCCACCTGAAATCCTGGAGACCTGCAGTCTGTTAGTGTGGAGACTACTGAGAAAGATAGACCAATGGCTTGACTTGGTATTAGGCAGCATCACTATATTCCTGTCTAGTCCCCCCCCCCAAGTCCAAAGTCTAAAATTACCTAACTGCACCTAATTGGTCAAACAACTTCTGGAGATGTAAATAATGAAAGAAAGATTGGTGGGTCCCAAGTGTTTTGCAGTTCATCAAAATTTTAATCTTGCCCTTCATCCCAAAGGAGGCCAATTCTTAGTACAGTGGTACCTCAGGTTACAAACACCTCGAGTTACAAACACTTCAGGTTAAGAACTTTACCTCAGGATGAGAACAGAATTTGTGCACCAGCGGCACAGCGGCAGTGGGAGGCCCCATTCGCTAAAGTGGTTCCTCAAGTTAAGAACGGTTTCAGGTTAAGAACGGACCTCCGAAACTAGTTAAGTTCGTAACCAGAGGTTACCACTGTATAGTCTTGGAGCAAGCATTAGACATTTCCTTCCTGTGAACACCTCCAATGGCCCATGGAAGCTTTGGCTATACAGTGGTTGGTGTGTTTACACAGGAGTCTATGGTGTGTTCTGATATTTTTCCTTTCCTTTCCTTTCCTTTCTACATCCCAATGTGCAGCCAGAGATATTTACAAAGCATTAAATAGATGGAAGAAAGTGTTTCATTCTTAAATAGCGTATTTATGTGTAACAAATGTTGGAGTATTTAGGTTTTGTGGTTGCTTATTGTATGATTTTGTTGTTGCTGTTAAGGCATTTTGACAGGCGCTTCCAGTATCTCCTTCATTTACTTGGCAGTTTGCAAGTACATTTGCTCAGTTGCAAAGACTGAGGTCATGTATAATTATGAGTTGTCATCGTTTTTTTTAAGGCAGATATAAAAGACACAACGGAGATTGGATGAAAATGAATAAACACCTGCTCTCTGATGAGGTTTAACACTGCCCAAACTCCTAACAAGCCCAAGTAGCAAAGATGTCAATAGTAACACTGTTTTGATAGATCAGTCCCATTAGGTTACTGGACAGCTGTGAGGGTAAAGGAAGGTCGCTTGAGGAAGCATCAGGAAAAAGTGTTCATCATCTTGTTAACCTGAAATCTTGAGAGATGCATTAGAGAAAAACAGGATTAAGAGCTCCAGCACAGATGGTGAAGATGGCAGCTATGGCAAGCCTAGGCAACGCACCAGGCTGAGGTTCTGTGGTCTCTTGTACATCTCCACATATTCAACTTAGCCATATGGATGCCCAGATAAAGTCTTTGCTCCTGCTCAAATGTATCATTGTGGCTAATTAGCATCACTGCAATATGCAATGCATTGGGTCGGGCAGTTTAGGAATATCTACACAAAGAGAAAGCAAATTTCAAGTGTCTATTGGAAAAATAATTGGCTTTGGCAAAAAAGAAAAAAGCTTACTTACTGAGAAGGTTGTGCAAAGCATATATAACACTCGCAAATTTGTATAATATGTGACATTAGGAGATGCATTGGGTTGAATGTGAAAGTTTATCACCACCAGCACACAGATAGTGGCTTTTTGTTTGCTATGTTTTATTTTACTATGGGGATAGAGATGTTTTGTATACAGAATGGTTTATAGTCATGCAAAATGGTTGGTATGCAACTTTCAGAGTAGACCTATTGAAATGAATGGATCTAACTTAGTAACGTTCATAAATTTTAATGGGCCTATTCTCAGTAAAACTTTTGTTTTACCACCCAATATTAATAAAAAGCAGAATAATAATGCCCTCATAGGCTAGACTAGCACTTCCCAAACTGGGGCCAAGGAATTATTCCAAGGGTTCCAAGTTATCCCACCCACACTTCTTGCTTAAAAGAGGAAGATTTGTAGCTTTAAGATAGTCTTTAAGCTTTTTGCAAAAGTGCCCTTTGAAGCAGCATCCCCCTCTTTTAAATGAGAAAAAAGTGTATATATTGGGCAAAATTGCACACAAACGTGTGTATAATAGGAGAAATTCTCACTAAAATGGTGATGAATTTTTATTAGGACTTTTTGTTTCATTGCAAACTCATATAGTAATATGGAGAACTGAATTTGAGATTGGAAAAGTTAGAAACCGAAACTGAAATTAACAGATTTACCCAACCCTAATCTGCAATGAGGAAGCCTTTCTGTTTGTGCAAAAGCTTCATCACTGCATGGGTTTGGTCTGAATATGTGGGCCTTACATGCTGAGCAAGCCGGTTTGCCTATTTTTGAGGCTAGCCTGTGCTTTGAATCAATGCGTGAATAAGCCTTTTGAAGAGGATTTAGATGCAATTGAGTTTACTGGTCCCATCACCTTCTGGCAAATAGAAGGGGAAGAAATGGAGGCAGTGAGAGATTTTACTTTCTTGGGCTCCATGATCACTGCAGATGGCGACAGCAGTCACGAAATTAAAAGACACCTGCTTCTTGGGAGAAAAGCAATGATAAACCTAGACAGCATCTTAAAAAGCAGAGACATCACCTTGCCGACAAAGGTCCACATAGTTAAAGCTATGGTTTTCCCAGTAGTGATGTATGGAAGTGAGAGCTGGACCATAAAGAAGACTGATCACCAAAGAATTGATGCTTTTGAATTATGGTGCTGGAGGAGACTCTTGAGAGTCCCATGGACTGCAAGAAGATCAAACCTATCCATTCTAAAAGCCTGGCGTGCTCTGGTCCATGGGGTCATGAAGAGTTGGACACGACTAAACAACAGCAAGAAGCCACTAAGAAGTTGGCCTGCACAAACCCTATTGGACATGAATCCAGCTTCTGCAGCCCCCAATTCATGCCAATGTCATTTCTGCAGAAAACAACCCGGTGATTGTAGCCCTCCTCTGTAACCATGTCTAAAATGCTGTAATTACATTTCTTCTAATAGCCACACATCTGTGTAACTTTGCAGGATTCTCCTTGTCCTGGGGGAGCACTTTTAGTGCTGAATGGGTCAAACATAAATTTCATCTTCATTATCATCAATCATCGTGGTAAAGATGGGCAGGAAACTGTTATAGCCAGTCTAGTAAATGTAATCAAGAACAGCTTTTCAAGACTGCCTGTGGTCTTTCTGTCTAGTTTCCAAAACATTCATATTTGGAAAACTGTTTGAAGGCAGCAAAGATAAGACATCACACCAATACAACTAAAATAAAGCCAAAGTCACAACAAAGCATAACACGACATCTAACTTTCTCAAACATGTAGCACACTATCTTGGTTATTTTACATTTCTTTCAATTCCCCTCTTTATTAAATCTTGTACGATTGCTATCATATCCATTTGATTATTAAATAGCTTTGAAATTGTTATTTTATCATGCTGGGGCAATTTTATATGGCATATGATTTATCTTATGATGGAATATTTTTTTAATAAAATAAAGTTGCTTGCTACGGTCTGTGGTAAAACAGCCTACCATTTACTTGCGTTTTGTATTTGAGATGTACAACTTTTATATTGTATATGATTAAGTCAAATAAAAATTATAATAATAAGACCTGATATTATTGTTATTAAGAACTGATTATCACTTTCTTACATTTTTCTGAGACAAATCAATAGGGTACAACAGACTAGAGCCAAAATTAATAAAACACACACACTAAAACTTAGAAAAAGCTATAAAAACAATGCAAAACGTATTTTGTGTTTTTGCCAGGACCCTCATTCTGATCACCAGTCTGGGTGCTGTCCTGGCTTGCTGGTTCCTTCAGCCCAGAAACACTGGAGGAAACTGTCTTAGAGGAGGACCAGTGGTAGGTTACTTTAAAGCAGAGTTTGGGAGGGATGATTTGGCCTTGGAAGCACAGAAGGCTCCAGTCCAGTCCAAGCCTTGGTTGGAGCACACTGTTCACTTGGAGCTTTCCATGGTCCTGTACTTTGCAAGAAGACTGCAAAGTAGTACCACAGATCCAAGTGAACAACTTGCTCCAACTATAGCCAGAGGTATACTGAAGCCTTATTAGCCTCTGCTTCCAGTCTACCCCTCCCAAGGTCTACATCCCTTAGTCAAAAAATAGACACCCCAAAAAGGGCCAAAAATGGGCTGGAGATGTTTTGCATTCTTGCGTATACTTCCTGACACACTCCTGGTGTCATTGGTTCCTCAGGCTCAGGGGAGGCTGTTCATGATGGAACTGGGCTTTGGTTCAGCAGCCTGGTTCAGTGGACACAAGTTCAGCATCAGGAGTCTTCAGCTGGTGGCATAGCAGCCTCAGACTCGGCCCCTTTTTGACCTCACTGCCAGCAGGACATCTACCCCCATGGCTCAGTGGTAGAGCACCTGCCTTTCATGTAGAAGGCGGCGCGTTCAATTCCTGGTATCTCCAGGTAGGGCTGAAGCCCTGCTTGAAACTTCTGCCAGTCAGTGTAGGCAATTACGAAGCTAGATGGTCCAATGATCTGACTCAGTGTAAGGCAGCTTCCTATGTTCCTTCACTTAAGCATTGTCTATTGAAATTTACTCATTCAGGCTCCAGGCATATGCTGGGAATACACATGTTGTTTAAAAAGGATTGCATAGAATGGTTTGGTCGCACTCTTAAACCCAGGCCTGCAGCATCATCTATGCCCCAGTACAAGGGCAGGGAGAGAGATGGAGTGATCTGGAGACCATGCTATATTCAAGGGAACAATACAGGGCTGTTTCACTTTGCCTGAAGCCAACACAAGTTCTATGGGCCTAAGTCACATTATAAAACCTTGGTATGCTGCACCTCATTTTTATTTATTTATTCATCCATTCCTTCTCCTTCATACTATGTCTGTCACTTAAATTCATTCACGCCCCCACCCCCCTGTAAGGTACAAGTGCCAACAAAATTCTTTTTGCTGTGAATGCTGATAGAAACAATCTTTGAATTAGCCTGTGTTTCCCGTTTATAATGCCATGCTGTCTTTCATCCCTCGCTCATAGGAGAGTGGGGGTGTTTTGTGGCAGAAATAACAGCCTTTGGAGTGGCACAGCAAAGGAGACTTCCACATTTCTCTGCTCACCATTTGTATGAGAGTCACCGGTACTGTTTTTAATGAGACTTTCTTATGTCACTGAGCATTTGTGCTGTCTGACTGCTGCTTTGATTTGTTGCAGGCTTCTTATTGGTAAGTAGCAGTGAACTGAGGTTGAGAGAAACCACAGCACATCTCCCCAACTGCAGCAGGTAGTTCAGGCAGACGTCGTGTAAAACTGATGTTCATCCTTTTATGCAGGAAAAGAGTTAGGCCAAAATCAGCACAAATCAGGTGAATCTTCTTTCTTCCATACCAAACTATAGCACGGAGTAGAAGTATTAGGGGGGAAATAATTAAATCCTGAATATATGGCTTAGAAGTAAAAGCCACTACTTACAGTGAAACTTCCACATAATCATTCCAGTCCGGTAACATATACAGTGGTACCTCTGGTTATGAACTTAATTCGTTCCGGAGGTCTGCTCTTAACCTGAGGTACCACTTTAGCTAATGGGGGCTCCTGCTGCCGGCGCACGATTTCTGTTCTCATCCTGAGGTAAAGTTCTTAACCCAAGGTACTACTTCTGGGTTAGCAGAGTCTGTAACATGAAGTGTTTGTAACCCGAGGTACCACTGGGCAGTAAACCTTGCTTGGAAATACTTCCCACAGTATACTTATTTCTAAGTAAATAAATGTATTTTGAGTTTGTTTTAACTGGCAGAACCCGAATTGGCATTTCCCGAAGTCTGGACTAAAGTCACTTCCAGGCAACTTCTTTTTCAAACACTCCTCCTGACTTACGTGCGCAAAGCTTGTGGGTGATTCTCTTTATATTGCACTAACTGTGATTTGTTGGCAACATTTCATCAAGCAGTTGCTATTGCACACTTTGCAGTACATTTCACTGTCACTCTCTTTATTGGAAAAGTTTGATTTTGATTGGAAGTGCATTTGTTGTGAGAGCATGCCAAATCCGTTTGAATTGTGCACCCTGAATTGGCTAGTATGCAATTGCATCCCACCCACAAAATAGCAACCACCTGGAAGTGCCCCAAATCTAGCACACCAGCTTTACCCATCTAAAGCCTTAGGTGATCATAGCTTGAATGGCAGTCTATTTCTAACTGTTCAAAAACTGAAAGCCATCTAATTTTTCACCCTGTGAAAGTGCATCTGTTCTCTCTTTCTTCAACTGACTCATCATTTGAGATCATCCCGCCTAGCTGAGTCATACTTCAATGTTTCTTTTCAGAAAGAGCAAGGGTGAGGGGAGAAAAAAGAATGTATATACAGTATATAAGATATCCTCCTAGTTTCAATCTGTGGTTTTCAAATGCAATAGCTCTGAACATATTATATGTGCTGTTAAGTTAATCATAGTGAAACTACTGAATATCACCTCTGACACAATTATTGAAAAATACAGAGAGCAACTATTTGTTAGGACTATAACATGACTAAGACATAATGTATGTGGCCATGAACTCCCTCTGGGAAATGTATGGCGCAATGCCATTTTCTGATATCTTTATTGGCGGCTGGAGAGGAACTCCCAAGCTGAGTTTCAGGGTTATTTGCAAAATGTTCATATCTACATGACAAATGAAATTATAATGCTTAATTCTCTGATGAGAATCCCTGCAAGATTCCTGCTACTTTTAATAAATTGTGTGCATGTGCGCCCCCCTGGACTTTTGTGCACCATTCTGTAACATGTCATTGATGTAATAATGGTGGCATCTATCCTTATGCTTTGCTTCATATACAACCCCTTTTCAGGAGTTTCAAAGGGCTGTAATAATAATAATAATAATTTATTATTTGTACCCCGCCCATCTGGCTGGGTTTCCCCAGCCACTCTGGGTGGCTTCCACAGAAACCAAAAATACACTAAAATCACACATTAAAAACTTCCCTGAACAGGGCTGCTTTAAGATGTCTTCTGAATGTCAGGTAGTTGTTGATCGCTTTGACATCTGATGGGAGGGCGTTCCACAGGGCGGGCGCCACTACCGAGAAGGCCCTCTGCCTGGTTCCCTGTGGCTTTGCTTCTCGCAATGAGGGAACCGCCAGAAGGCCCTCGGCACTGGACCTCAGTGTCCGGGTAGAACGATGAGGGTGGAGACGCTCCTTCAGGTATACTGGGCCGAGGCCGTTTAGGGCTTTAAAGGTCAGCACCAATACTTTGAATTGTGCTCAGAAACGTACTGGGAGCCAATGTAGGTCTTTTAAGACCGGTGTTATGTGGTCTCGGCGGCTGCTCCCAGTCACCAGTCTAGCTGCCGCATTCTGGATTAGTTGTAGTTTCCGGGTCACCTTCAAAGGTAGCCCCACGTAGAGCGCATTGCAGTAGTCCAAGCGGGAGATAACCAGAGCATGCACCACTCTGGCGAGGCAGTCCGCAGGCAGATAGGGTCTCAGCCTGCGTACCAGATGCAGCTGGTAAACAGCTGCCCTGGACACAGATTTGACCTGTGCCTCCATGGACAGCTGCGAGTCCAAAATGACTCCCAGGCTGCGCACCTGGTCCTTCAGGGGCACAGTTACCCCATTCAGGACCAGGGAATCCTCCACACCTGCCCGCCTCCTGTCCCCCAAGAACAGTACTTCTGTCTTGTCAGGATTCAACCTCAATCTGTTAGCCGCCATCCAACCTCCAACCGCCTCCAGGCACTCACATAGGACCTTCACCGCCTTCACTGGCTCTGATTTGAAAGAGAGGTAGAGCTGGGTATCATCCGCATACTGATGAACACCCAGCCCAAACCCCCTGATGATCTCTCCCAGCGGCTGCATATAGATGTTGAAAAGCATGGGGGAGAGGACAGAACCCTGAGGCACCCCACAAGTGAGAGCCCAGGGGTCTGAACACTCATCCCCCACCACCACTTTCTGAACACGGCCCAGGAGAAAGGAGCCTGTTTACAGAAATCCTGCCCAGTTACATATAAACAGCATGGGACTGCCATAAACAGGTTGATGTTCTTAACACTCCTGCAAAGCCAGTCGATTATCCATATCCATATTTCTCCCCCAACTGTAATACAAAAGGGGTAACTGTGCCCATGTAATAAGGTCTAAAAAAGTGAAAAGCTGTATCTGAAAAGAGGGGATACGATAGCTTCTCTTGCCCAACATTTCCATGATCATG